GGGCGAGCGCCGCGCCTCTCATTCATGCAGCGGGGGCGGGGTGAGGGACCCGGATGCCTGGGCAGCCCCCGCCCACCGCGCTGAGGGCGCAAGGCTTCGGCATCTGCTATGCGCAAGCGCGACGATCCTTGGCTGGGCCTTGTTCCGTCTGCTGTCTGGCTCTGTCGCAAGTAGAGCTAGGCTGGGTAGACCTCTTCTTTCTACTATTCAGTACTTTTTTGTTTGCTCTGTGAGCATTAAACAAAACAAAACAGAAAAACAGTGAAAATTTGGAACGTCAATTACTTCCTAGCATCCAGGCTAGTAGTCCTAGGGAACACGGCTGAACATGGGGGTGAGATACTGCGCATCACTCCCTCCATCTGTCCCTTCAGCTTCAGGTCCTCTTAGCCGAGTGCTGGGACTGCGGTGATGGTCGAGACCCAGATTCTGAGTAGTGGAAAGAAATACTGGCAAGAAAACAGTGTGCTCTTTAATTACATCTACCTGCCCATCTTGGCTCCAGTTCCCATTCTATAGGGCAGGCAAGAAATTGACCTCCATTTTGGGGGTCTTGGTTCTTTCTGCAAGACCAAGACCTAGACTCTAAAGCAGCTCCAGCCTTCTAGGAAGGCCTATCTATCTTGTCATTAATAGTCCACGCTTGTTCTCAGCTCCTGAGGCTGGAAGCAGGCCTATCAGGCCTCAGCCTTTCTCTCTGAGGCTCCTCATGAGTATGGAAACTGCACCTCAGGGCTTGTAGAAACAATTGTCTCCTTTTTCTCAGTCCCCATGTCCCACTCTGAGGTTCCTTTTCCTTTTATCCTCCTGTACCCATCACATAAATAGCTCAGAGGCTTATTAACATTTTAAACATTTCAAGAAGTAATCTGCTACCCAGTGGTCACAGTCCCTTAAGGGAAGAGATAGGTACAGGCCTGTGCTAGCAATAGTGGGCAGCTCTTCCATTGTAGCTCCCTGTCCCAGGGCTGTGGGCCCACATTCTCTCTGCCACTCAAGTCAGGAATCTGGGGGATCCCTTCCCTCCTTGTTTTCTTTTCTTTTCTTTTCTTTTGGTATGCAGATCAAACTCGGGACCTTGTGCTTGTGAGGCAGGCAGGCGCAGGCACCACTGAACTAAATGTCCCATCCTCCCTCCTTATTTTCAGTGGCAGCACTCACCAAGAAGACTTTCTCAATCCATGTTTGCAGATACTGTACCTCTCCCTCTGTCTAAATCTGGTCTCTTCATCTATACCCTGGGCTGTTGCAGACATCTCAGTCCGGTCCCACACAAAGCTAGTCTTGTGATATGCAAATCTGTTATGGTTCCACCTTTTTCTCTTTCCCTGCCCCATGTGACACACCAGGTCTTATTTTTCAGCTGTTTCCAGTACAGCACCATGATGTTTCACTCTTGTTAACCATCTTTCCTACTGGTCCCTCCACTAAGAAAGCAACACTTACTTAGCAATGCACAAAAGTTGCTTTTTCCTCTTAAAAACTCACAGAGGGTTTTTTTTTCAGTCAGTGAAAATGCTGTGTGATATTATGATGGTGAATATATCATTACACATTTGTGCAAACCTGTAGAATGGGAACTGTGGACTTTGGGTGATAAGGACAAGTCATTGTAGGTCATCGGATGTACAAACATGCTCTGATGGGGAATGATCATAATGGGAGGGATGCAATGTGTGAAGCAGAGGGTATAAGAATTATTTCTACCTTCCCCTCAATTTGGCTGTTAACCCAAAACTGCTCATAAAAATTAAGTAATTTTTTAAAGTCACCTTTTAAAATAAACTCTTCCTTCACTTTAAATAAACTCCTTCCTTCATCCATTGAAAGACTTTCTTTGGATTCCTCACCTGTGTCCTATACCTATTTCCCTCTTGGTATCTGGCATCCTTTGAGCTCAATCATTTGCATATTTTCTCCTTCATCTGTATATGGGCCTTTCAACAGCAGCAGAAGCAGGGTCTTCTCAAGACCTGTGTGTGACTGGTGCACAATGAACATGGAATAGTTAGCAGGCGGATCACATCCACTGGAGGCCCAGGCAAGCTCCATGAAGGAGAAAAAGACAATTCCTTTTCTTTCTCCTTCCTTTTTGTGGCTTCTCTATCCTGGCTTGTGTTTGGAAAGCTGTTTCATTTATTCATGAAGTTTGGCTGGTAATTGCTAGTCCAACAAGCTATAGGGTAGAGGGTGGGGTAGCTCCAACCTCATGTCTTTTGTGCTTATAAAAGTTCAGTGCATGAGAGAGAAAGAGAAACTATAAGGAACAGTGGCCATGTTCAGTTGCTACTTCCAGGGAGATCTATCTAATTAAAATTTTGCTGAGGCATTAGTTAACAGGGTTAGGGAAAAAGTCTCCTTGATACCAGACAGGTGGAAACTGGCCTCAAAGCTCCCACAACATGTGTTTGGTTGTGTTCTTCTATCCCCAGTTGTGAGTTGTTCCTTCTTCTTGGAGGAGAAATCAGAGGTTTCGTCTCCAGCTGAAGAGTTCTGCAGATCAGTGGTACACAAGGTTCTATTCACTGTTCACCCCCTCCTAAGCACTCTTACTTCTCTGTGGTGGTTGGGGATAAAGGCGTATCAAGGTCTGGAGAGATATGGGAAGTTCTTTCTTTCTTTGCAGCATTTAGGTGGGTTTCCAAGCACTAAGAGTATAAAGGAGTGTCCTTCCCATCCATCATGTTCCCTTCATCCACAGATGGGGAGGGGTGGACTGGAGAAGACTTCCCTGTTAGTGCCTCCAGAAAATATCCCTTTCTCTGTCTATTCCCTTGCTGTGGTTTGCATGTGTCCCCCCAAATTCATGTGTTGGAAACTTAGTCATTAATGTAATAGTACTGAGAGGTGGGATCTTTAAGTGGTAATTAGGTGAATGAATGGGATGGTCACAACTGCCAGCTAGGTTAAGAGACCACTAGAGAAGTGATTGGACCATGGCAGCTCTAAACTCATTAGTGGATCAGTTCACTGATGTGTGTTAGGAGGTGGTCTCAAGTTGAAGGAGATGGATCAAGGGGGCATGCCTTCGGAGGGCACATCTCTCCCTGGTGCTCCTCTCCTGTGCTGTGCTTCTTGACCACTGTGAAGTGAGCAGCTTTTCTCCACCATACCCTCCACCCTGATGTTCTGCCTCCATGACATTCTGGAGCCAGCTGATTATGAAATGCAATCTTTGAATATGTGAGCCAATTTAAACCTTTTCTCCTTTAAGTTGTATGTGTTGAGTACACCGAAGGTAAGCTGACCAGTACTGCAACTTAAAGGAAAGCTGGCCAATACTATGGCTCAATGCCACTATTTCAGGAGTGGGTTCCTGAGGAAAGGATGAGTTTGTTCACACACCCCATGCTCCGCTCTCCTCCATTTTCACTGTCTCGCTCCTCTGCCTTCCTTTATGGACAACACACCAAGAAACCTTCATCAGGAGTCAACCCTTGATCTTGGACTTCCTGGCCTCTAGAATTGTAAGGAACAAATCTCTGCTCTCTACAAATTACCCCATTATAACAGCACAAAAAGGGCTAAAATACTCCTTCCCCCTGCCTCCTTTCATCTCTTCTCCTTATTATACCTCCTTTAAAGCATTTTCATCAGCCCCATCACATCTCAGAAAACTCTGACTCCACCCCTATGGTCAAAAGTCCTTCAAGTCTCCTCCAGGATAAGAAATGACATCTAATTTTAAATCAAATGTCTGTGACTAATTTTGGAGCAGTAGCTTTTTCAATGTTAACTATAGTGGGAGTAAGAACTGGTTATAGTTGTCTTTGGATCAGTCATGCAATGCATAATTTGTTGATGCCTACCTGACCGGTGAAGGCAAAAATCAGTCCCTCAAACAGAAGCTAGAAGTAAAAAATTGTCTCTAGCTGAACCCCTCCGCCCATCCTCCCTACCTAGTGGAACCTGTCTGTTGATCATTGTGTACCATCTCAGCAAAAATCCCTTCTATTGGTCAAGCATATGTCTGCTTAATTATCCAGAGTTCAGAATAAACCCTTCAGGGATTGACTATACAATGCTCTGACCCCATTGACTAGGCCAACAGCAGAATCCCACCATTTCTGAGAGAGCAGGAAGTATCCTCCTATATTGCCTTCATTCCAGAAATTCCAAAGGCATCCCTGCTGATGGTTCCCTGACCCCTACCTTTGGAGGGGAATTGCTTCTTGATGTGGGTTGTGTGTGCATAACTGTGAAACTACGAGAATGAGGAGGAAGTCTAGTTCCCTGTGTGTGTGGTAACTTTGTACCTGGTACTTGTGAGTATGTCCACTCTCAAGCCACTGAAGGAGGTAGAAGCTGGGGATTCTGTTCCAGCCACCAAATTACCTTGCCTTTCTGGCGTGAACACAGACCCAGTCACTCAAAATCTCAGAGCTTGTGAAATGTAAATGTGCTCAGCATCCTGTGTGGGAGCTTCCTAGCTGAGACCAGACACAGATGCTGTGCACTGATGACGATTTCCTGGGGACAGTACACCTGTTCAGACTCACTGTTAGATTCGAGGGCATTTGTCTTTGTGTGGATTCTCATATGCT